AGCCAGTCACTGTGCAAACTCCAGTTTGTCCGACCCCAGGTCCCGTGGCTTGGGTTATATTCCCGGTCAGGAGGGAAGGCTCAAACCCAGGCATTCTTCGGGCAGCGGGAGACATGTTTACTTTGGTCGAAGAGTCGGTAGCATAGAGCAGACGTTAAACTATCCCGCTCTTAGAGTCCCCTCCGCAACCCGGTGCGTGCGTCTGTGAGTGTGTGTCACGGGAGGAGGAGGCAAGTGGGAGGACTCTCCAGTCCATTTGTTCTTGCTTTGCGGTCTTGGTTTGGATATGGGGGGGCCTTAGCTTACTGAAACAGCAACACCTGGCTGTGGAGTGAAGAGAGCCGTCAGGGTGCAGGCCCCCGCGGCCCCCAACCATGCATGGTACAGAATGCAGAGGGGTGGCCACAGTGCTCCCTGTGAGCGTGAAAGGCCGGTCCCTGGGAGCCGAGGCCCGCGGCCCCGCCTCCTGGCCTCGTCCTGATGCGTCCTCGTCTCTCTCCGCTGAGAAGTGCAATTCCACTCTGGAAGGAGGCGAGAGCCAAGTCTCAACGAGGGGCAGCAGCTCATGAGCTCAACTTGTAGGAAATAAGGGCATCTTCATGGGTGAAACATCTCTTTTCACTTGATTCTAGGCAATGAGAAGGCCACCGCATCCCCGTTTTGCTCTAACAAATCATTTCGATTTCTGTGTTCTGCTAGAAATTCTAGTGTTGGAAATTCAAATCTTTAATTTTTTTTTTTTAATGACAATTGCACTGGTCTGCTGGAGAGAGTGAGATTGCTTATTACTAAGCGCCATCAAACTCCTAAATGGTCACTGACGTTCCAACTGCTGGAAGGGACCAGCGTGCACAGGCCCGATGCACACGGGGTACGGATGAGGCCCCTGGGGGGGGGTGCCTGGCTGGGGTGGGGGGCGTCACGCGTCAGATGTAGGTCACCATCATGCCCCGGCTTTTGTTTTGGGTGATGAGTTGGTGGCTGCTTATTTCATCTTTAAAAAGAACTAATTAGAAGAGAGAAATAAAAGCAGGCTTTGCCTGGACCAGAATGGAAGTGTCTCATGAACCAAGGATGATTAATCCAATTCTATGCACCTGGTCCAATAAAAAACAAATCAACTGAAGACAAGCCTATTTAAGTGAATGCTCTGAGATTTAGGTTTTCATCACGTTGGGTGCTTTTCCTTACGAGTCCCCCCCCAACTCCGCCCCCCGACTTCACTAATCCTTTGAAATACCATTCTTCTTCTGTTCCATGGCAGGGTCTCCTGTGCAAGTTATATCCAGAAAGGTCTGGAGTTTGGGAATCTGCTTCTCCCTAGGGCAGAGGAAGGCCTGAACTGTGGGCGTCCGGCGCTGGGCGTGCGGTGATGGTCTCCTCCAAGCGCGCAAGCGTGTTAAGCTGAGAGTAAGCAGTGGAAAGGAAGACCCTGCCACCACGGCCCCGACTCCTGCCCTGGGGCGAGCAGGGTACTCTTTATGTCGGCATTCACCTGTTCAGCAATGTTCACTGGGCAAGCAGAGAGCCGCGCTGGGCTCTGGGCCACGTGCTAGCCCCTCGGGGACACAGAGCACATCGCGGGCACCTTTTCTGCATCCCTGGCGGTGCCACATGCATGGCACGCGGTCGATCTCTCAGTGGCCTGTGGTGGCCACGTGCGATTCCAGTTGCCGCGAGCGTGTGCTCTCTTTCTGTAGGGGGCTGGAGACCCTGGGTAGTGTAGAGAGGGCAGGGGGCTCTGAAAGCCCCAGGGTCTCTCGCCAGTGAAAAGCCTTCCACATCTGTTTCAATTTATCTCTTTAAGCCTCAAGTTCCTTATCTCGCGAATGGGAATAACAACCGTTATCTCACAGGATTGTGCGAGAATTATGAGATAATTCTTAACAAGCATTTTAAATTTCCGTGGCATAAATGTTCAGTATTATTTATTATTTTTCAGTATAATTTATTATTATTATTACCACCATTTGATTTTCTCTTGCACATAGGATCTAGAACTAATTTCTCTTCAGAGCCCAAGGGGCCCAATAACTGGTGGTGCGTTCCTTTTATTTGCTCGCTGAGTGAGAGAGGGGGCGTGCCCCTTGAGAATGAGGACGCCAGGTCTGTCACCTTCTGATGTCTTTCCTGTCAGTGCCACAGAAGATCGGAGACAGGTAAAGCTACCCCACTCTGACACAGCCCCAAACCTCTGGCCAGGAAGTAACTGAAACCAAGGGCCTGAGAATCCCTTGGCTTTGTGCCTTGAAGGGGAGGAAGGAGGATTCTGGCCTGACTCCTCGCTGACCCTTGCCTAACGGAAGACCCAACACTTGGCCACCAGTGTCCTCCCTTGTCATCCAATTGCTTCCTGAAGGGCTTAGGAAGCTCCTCCGTGAGATTCTGGGGTGTTCGAGAATGTGGGAAAGGAGGCCCCTGGAGTCTGTCCTGCGCAGCCCCTGTACTCTGCTACTTGAACTTTCACCTCCAGACCTCCCAAGTCCCGCCCCCCTCTGGTCAGTGAGCAGCATGGCTTGGACTGGGGCCAGGTGGCTGGAGGCTTGAGTTTAAATCTGCTCACCGCTCCTCACTGCCGATGGGATTTTAGACAAGTCACTTTTTGCTTTTGGAACCTCTGGTCCTCATTGAAAGATGGGATATAATTACCAACCTCGAAGGTCTGGTGTGAGAATCCTCGGGATGTGAGCACAGACGCAGCAATTGCAATCTCAAAATTGCAATTACCGCTAAGGACTCATCCGCCACGCTAGGGGCTGAGGCGCGCGCGGAGAAAGGTCTGGAAGATCCCAGCCTGATTCACTTGTCGGTATGTGCTAAAAATACATATTTTGTCTCTTCTCTTTAGTTTGGTCAGCAGAATGGAGAGACCGTGACTGGCCCCAGAAACCTCCCCGGAGCCGGTACTGTGGACAGCCCCTGTGGGTTCTGCTTCCAGGGAGCAATTTAAGAGGCAAACAAAACATGAAAAGCTACTCAGAATTAACAATGGGCCAGATGGTAATGCTAGTTTGAAGCAATAAAACATGATAAATAGCTTCCTGCTGCTACTCCTGATCAATTTCAATATTTAATAATCCCACTGCCACCCCACCCCCTCATCTGGCCCCCTCCACGGCATCCTGCGATGACTCCCCGCATTCAACTCACAGAGCAAACACTTCTTCGCTTTCTGAAGGCGTCAGCAGAAAGCATGCTGCTGACTGTCACATGAGCGCTCTCGGTCCTCGAGATGATAATTAATCTGCCTACTCTCCCGAACACGCTCTGTCTCAAACACGCTCTGTCTCAAGCCTCTCCTGGTTGCCAGGGAAGGCTGGGAGGGAGCCCCGACTGCAGAGATGTGACGGGAGCGCCTACCTTGTTGATGCTACCAGTACTGCCGGTACCCCCACTTTTGCTTCTGAATCTGAGAAAGGGGAGCAGCGTGGGGTCATTTCACCCCAGAGCCAGTTGGGAGGGCAGGGGTCCTTCCGCAGCCCAGTGTTAGAGCCTTGGCCACCAACCTCTGCGCCTCAGTTTCCCTCTCTGTACAATGGGGACAATCGGACCTTCCTCCAGGAGAGACCTAGCCAGAGCTGCACATGCAGACACCCAGTGCAGCGTGTGGTATGCGGGGCCTGCCCACCAACGGGCAGCCAGTGGTCGTTAGGAAACACGAGGCCTCGGCAGCTGGTGCCTGAGCACCATGCCGGTGCCAGGGGTCTGCTGTGCCCTGAGCTCAGGAAGCTGCAGCCCAGCGTGGTGCAGGATCCAGGAGGGGAGAACCCTGACGTCAGACAGACCCGCCCCAAGATTCTTGCCGAGTGGTGCTGCCTAATGAGATGATCTGCCTCAGATGCCAGGGAGGCTCCAAATGCTTTGTGGCCACTGCCTCAGGAGACCTCAGGGCACTCTGGAGAGCAGGTGGTGGTGGTATGGGGCTGTTTTACAGAAGAGGAAATGGAGATTAGGAGGTGAAATGGCTTTTCGAGCTTGCATCAGTAGGAAATGGCACAGTCAGTTCTAATCTGAATCTCCAACCTCTGATTTCAAGTCCTCTCTGCTGAGCCCCAAGAGAAAGTGGCTGCCTAGGGTTCCCCTCCTTTGGGCACCCCTTGTGCAGGGGGCAGTCGGGTGGAGAGGAAGCCTGGGTGCCAGGTCACCTACGCTGCAGTTTACTCGTCTGTGAAATGAGAATGCTTCTACTTGCTGCCCTGTTTCACAGAGACATTTGATGAGGAATATGCATGAAGGTACACTGCAATTCTTGATGCGCTGTACAGACGTCAGATGTAGCTATTACGACTTTTTGGAAAAACACCCTCCGTGAGGAAAATATCAGAAACTGTTCCACCCAGAGGTGGAGTCATGTAAGTGAAGCTTTCAGTGGCCCCCAGAACCTCGAGGGTCACTACCAAACTCGCCGGTGGCGTTCAGCACCTGGACAGCTCCAGCTGCCCTTCTCGCATGAGCCCACAGCCTTCCGCCCTCCTGGTCAAGGCCTAGACCCCGGACACTCCTGCCGGGTGTCCCACCCCGTTCTTGGGCTCACCTGCTCACCTTCTCCAAGAGGTCTGCCTGGATTCTCTCTTGTTCCCTGAACTCTCCTGTGAGCGTGTCCTCTGCAGGCTCTCTGACCCCCGCTTTCTTCCCTCCATGCCAGCACACAGTGCACTATACCGGTGCCATGCTTTCCTCTGCCTCCCACTCTACAGTGCGTGCCTGCAGGGTGCGAACCAAATGCTGGTCAATCTGTCCTATGCAAGGCCTGCCCCATGGAGTTTATACTCCATGAATGAGAGGCTGAGGGAATGGTGAGTGTTTCTAGTACGATGGGTGGGCGCAACCTTGTGACCAACAGAGCCCCTGAATTCAGGTCCAATTCAATGCCCCCGCTCCCAGGGGTTTCGAGAGCGGATCAGACAACTTTCTCCTTCCACCTTGACCTTGAACAAGAAAACGCGCCGCCCATCCCCACCCGACCCTGCGGGCCACGACAGAGGCCAGTCATCAGGTACCTGAGTCCCGCTGGTCGAGGGTCATGGAGTTCCATCTCCTCGTGATGTCAATGTACAGGATGTCCACGGCAGCCATGGACAAGCTGCTGCTGCTCAGCCTGCAGTTCCTGCAGGAGACAGGCGGGAGCGCGTTACTGCTGGAGGAGCCCGGGCTGCGGGCCCGCCTCGGGCCTTCTCCAGCACTGCTCTGCCTGGAAGGCCCTCCCCCCTCTGCAGCGAAGGGGGCATGGCAGGGATGGAGGGAGAGAGGGCTGTAAGGACAAGTGGAGGAGCAGTCATGTGGGTTTCTGTGGTTCCTTTAATTATGGATCAAATGGGCTGAGCAGAGCATCGGGATGGCAAGTGTTGAGTTGAATTCTGGGTCTGCCAACTTGAAGCTGGGTGGTGCTGGTTGAACCCTCTCTCCTTCCTGAGCCCCAGTTTCCTCACCCACAAGGCAGGGAGTCTTTATTACCCCCATTCTGCCTGCCGTACATGCCAGTGCAGGTCTCTGCCTGCTTGGAAGAACTGGGAACTGGGAGCTCCATATTTCAAAACACCCATATGCCTTGTCTTCACCGTCCCCATCCATCAGTGTCTGGGAAGCAGGACTTGCGGGTTGTGTGCACCTGCCAGCCTCTGGGGGAGCTGATGGTGGCATGCTCAGGTGACCCGATCATAACAGCATGTCTCCGGCACAGGCTGAGGCCATCGCTGCTGTCCGGAAGTGAGTCCCCCCCACCCCCCTGCCGAAATGCCCACCAGCTGAGGCCCTGGGCCACAGACCTGAAGGGCCAGCAGCTTCTGCACTTCACGCATCTAAACCTGCTGCCGGAAGACTTTATAGGGGCCCGAGCCCACAGAGTAGAACCTGAGGGTTGGCCCACGCCCCTTTGCGTGGTCTGTGGCAGCATGGTGGCGGGGGGGGGGGCGGGGGGAGGTGCTTTCCTGCTCGGTCCTGACTTTAGGGGAATTCCTTGGATGCAAAAGAAGCGGGTATGGGGGGCACAGGGGGGCAAACCACTGAGTTTCTAAAGTTTCCGTAATTTAGGCACTAAGAGGCCAAGATGTCAGACTTTTGGCCCAGTGTCAGTACGTTGCTTCCTGTCAAGGCCAAGGGGCTGTTCAGAATCCTCCTCTGCTTCCCCACTTGTTTCCTGGGGTGAGGTCTGGAAGTGCGGGTATCCTGGAAGGATCTTGGCTTGGGCATCACAGAGGCCAAGACTGAAATCCCGGCCTCACTGCTTTTTCTGGCCGTGGGACTGACACCTGCCACGCCTTTGTGTTCTGCTCCCGAAAATGAAGACAACGGTACCCGCCACGTGACTTGTGAGGATGAGCTGAGGTATGCGTGCCGGGGGGCAGGCACGGTGCTGGCACTGGGTGGCTCAGGACAATTGTCCCTTCCCTCCCTGGTCTCTGTCTCTCCTACTTTTCCTCCTGCAGAGCTAGGGCCATCTCAGGCACATCACGCACTGCCCTTTCAGTGAATGGCCCTGTCCTTCCTCGGGAAATGCAGCTCACTGGGCAGAGTCCGGGGGTCAGGCTTGGGCTCTGTCCAGGCCTTGCATTGTTCGGGTGCACCCCCACCCTCCTGCGCAGATTGTGCCGGGCGACGGGCCTCCGGTGGGCTGGGTTTGCCCTGGGAATGCTGAAAGCTGCACCTCTGTCCGATCCGGCTGAGCTGCATTGAGTGCTGCTTCCCACTTTCCCAACGTGTCCACATCCATCACCCCAGCTAATGATAAAGCAGCGCTTTGATTTCCAATTTGTCATCGTCCCTGGTGTGATAGCTCTCTTAGGAACCTGACTAGCCAGGGATGATTGGCAAGCAGGATCTGGGCATTCAGACCTCTCCAAAGCCGTGCACACCCCTCGCAGGGGTGGCTGGGAGTCTGCCCGGCATGATGCCCGACAAGCTGGAGCTCCTTCTATGCCAGAACACTTGCCCTTGGCCCACCCCTTTCTTTCTGCCTACATTTCTCAGGCCATCAATTCCCACCCTGCTTCCCCTGGGCGCCTGCTCTGTATTTCAATCACAAGTCACTGTGGCAGACTTCAAAGCAAATCAGCACGGTTACTGAGCCCCGGTAACAGCATGTCAGCGGACGAGGAGCTATTCACATCACCTGTCACGGAGATGGCTATCTCCGTCGGGTTCGGGGGACAGGGCTCCGTCCCTCCCTAGGTGTTCTGACAACCTCACGGCTCATTTCCAAAGCTTCGTTAGGAACAGCCACTGGTCTTCTCTAACGATCATGCTGTGTCCACTCCCCACTACCCCCCCCCCGGCCCCCCGGGAGGGACGGGAGCTCTGCCTGATTCGCTCTGTGGGTTAATGGAGTATGAACGAGGAAGCCAAACTGACCACTGCATAGAGTTATTTTTTTTGTGACAGGTAGAAAATAGAAGTGTCAAACCTTTTGCAGGAGCCGTAATTTACCAAAGAGAATTCTCCATTTATCCCCTTTCCCAAGGTAACTCATCCTCCCCCGTGACGCCTGCAAATACGGCTGATTGCAACATCTGTGACGGGACGGGGGAAGGAGAGGCCGTGCTGGAGGCAGCAGACAGGAAATGCCTTCAAAGAATTTTGATTCTGTAGGCATTTCTTGGGCACCATCTGTGCCAGACCCCTTCCTGCCATTAACACTCTGCATCCTCAGAACCATGCTGCAAGGGAGATGCTCCCATAGTCCCAATTCATAATGGGTAAGCTGCGACTCGAGCGAAGGGACAAGACGTGCTCCGAACCACACACTGGGATTCACATCCAGTCCTCCCCTGCAGGGTAGCGTGGTGGGTGGGAGCCCTGAGGAGACGTGGGGGGATGGCTCGCCAAAGGTCACGGGAAGAGCCCAGGATTCAAGATGCCAAGTCTCAGGTGGGGCTCAGTAAGATGTACTCTGCAGAGAAGCCCGGATGGGAAGATGGGGTCCAGAAGAAAGGCAGCCAGGGTTACCTGGAGGCAGGCTTTTCCTGACTTGACTCCAGGATCATCAGACATCCTCAGCTGACTCAAAATGTGATGACCCCACGGGGTCAAGGCTTTGAATGAATTTCTCATGTACTCAATACAGAATTTATTCTCTGTCCACTAGATGTAGGTGTCCTGTGACCACTCTGGAGGGTAGCAGTGACCCCAGACTTGTCTTAATCACAGAAACAGTTTCCCTTTATGCGCCGGGATGCAGTTCTTCAAATGATTAAATATATGGCAGGATGCTTTCTTCAGCAGATGAGAAATCCAAGCATTTTAGTAACATGAGAAAACTCCCTAAGAAGGAAAGGCTAGGCCAGCCATGAAAAAAACTAACCCTGGACTCAAACACACATGAGTTTGAATCTTGACTTTGCTGTGTGACCTTGAACAGACACTGGAGTGCCCTGCATCTGACTTTCCTTTTCTGTGCAAGGAGAAGAGGGCTACTTGGTATGAGGCCTTTGGCGGGACTAGCTCAGTGCCTGGCACATATGAGGAAGTGACCCATCTTCTCTTCATGAAGTAGAACCAGTGGGAAGGAATCTTTTTTTCCTCAGAATCAAGGGATGCAGACACATGATGGGAGAGAATCACAAATCATTCAGCTTCACTAGGAGCCTGAGCACAGGAAGACTGGAGATGATCATCCCCATTTCCGCTCGGCAACTACTGACATCTCACGGGAAATTTAGACACCAACTTTTCCCACTCCATAAAATCCTACTTAAAGAATTTCGTTTGTGTTCATCCTTTCTGTGAAGAAAAGAAGCTTGTTTTTCCTGGAGAATTTTTCTATAAGGTAAAAGCTAAGAATATTTGTTTTTATTTTTAAAAACACCAAACTACTATCTAAAGCTCTTGGGGGAGGAAAAAACCAATTGCATGTTACTATATATATATATATATATGTATATGTATATGTATATATATAGTAAATTTAAAAGCTATTGAGGTCCCAGATATAGATTCCACAATATTGCAGGAAAGAGATCGTCACCCAAGAGGGGATTTTCAAAGTGACTGAGGAGTTAATGATGGGTGGGGGTGGGGAGGCGAGGCCCCTTGTACTTCTGTTCCAGAACCTTCTAACACACCATGCTCTCTTGCTGAGAATAAGCCCCCCACAGCTACCCATTATGAAGTGTATTAATATCTCTTTATGAGAAAAGGGAGCGGAAGGGAAGAAAAAGAAAAAAGAGAAAATCATTCTCTGATTGAAAAGGAGCCCAGGCTCCGACACCATAAGGGGGCGAGTGGGGGCTCCCGAGTGGGGGCGTGGGGGCGGGAACGGCTCCGCGCAGAGAAGTGCTCAAACCGCCTCCGTTTCCTAGAAATAACCCGGATTTCGGTGAATTGTTTAATCTCCAGGCCGAGGAAATGGGAAACGCAGCCTAGGCAAATTGATGTCAAGTTCTGATCTAGGATATATTTGGAAAAACACGTTCTTAGTGAACTACACGGGGCGCCCCCCCTCCCCCCCCAGATAGTCATCCAAGGGAAGGAAAATAACAAAATGCAGTTCCCGCAAAGAAAGCGTCAAACTGAATAATCAGATCATTTCTGTTTCTCAGAGGAAGAGAAGTCTCCACACCCCAGCAATTATGATGGAATCAAAAAGGAGGAGAGAGAAAGAAGGCGCCCTTAATTCACGGCAACGTGTGCTGCTGTTGTGCGCCTGCCACAGAAACGGCACGGAGAGCTGGGGAGACGGTGGGGTCTAGACGAGGGGACGGCGGTTCATTATTTCTCATTTCTTGGTGGAGAAGAAAAATTGAATATGGCCAGGCCCGCATTAGCATAACTCACTCCTAAAACTGCTGATCTATGCAGCATGTTGGGACGCCGGGCACTGAAAATAAATTCAATCGGGATGTTTATTATTTTGTTCCCTCCAGTTCTCTTCAAGGAACTTGCAAGGGAGAGCGTGGGCAGTTGAGAGCCAAGTTCAACCTGCGCTGTTTGTGTGGGCGTGGGAAGGGACGACTAGCCCCTGCCGGAGCTGTCTCCTTGCAGAGGGCTCTGGAGAAGGGCGCTGGGTTCCATTTAACATATGGCATAAATATTAGTGGCTTGTAATGAAGCAAGATCTAAACCAAAGTGGAAAGGCAAGAGAGGAGTTGTTAGCAAGAGAACATGCAGCCGGGAAATGTAGCGGGAGGACTCGGATGAGTCTGAAAGCGCAGAGTCCCGTGTCTGACGATTAAGCCGCAGAGGGGGTGGCTTTGTCTCTCTGAAAGGGCAGAACCTGCTTCTCCCTGTCTTTCTGCAGCTTCAGGTCTGTGGGCCGAGGCCTGGGGAGGGGTGCAGGTGCCGTGGGAGGGGCACCCAGCTTTTGTCCACTGAGGCTGCAGGAAGCCCCCTGGGGACCTCACCCCCCCCCCTTCACGGATGGGGGGCATGGGCTGGAGGGGCAGCCACAGGAGCTAATGGCCCCCAGGGCCACAGCTTTCCCGTGCAAATGCCTTTAATGGCAGAGAACAAAGAGACAGGGCTCGTGCAGCCTATCACACAGGGACAGATTTGTGGCGATATTTTTGACATCTCTATTCCAGTCGGAGAGCATTTTCAGAGGCTTCTCCACCAGACCCATTCCCAAGTCTGTCTTCTCTTCCAGATCGTGTACGAATATAGGTCCTCTCAGCACGGACCAGGCCCCAGCTCCCCACCAGCCCACGCGGCAGTGGTCTTGGGCACGCACCCTGGCATCAAACCCGCACGGGCCGGTGTTCCTAGGCTTCATGCTGAGATTTTGCATAAAAGTCGGTATTCCTGGCTCCTTGTGAGAGACCAGCGGCGCGGGCGCACAGCCCAGAGCGCTCGGTCCTTCGGCCTCATGCTCGCCCCAGCTGCAGCCCTCTGGACCCCGTCCACTGGCTCGTTCCCACCTCAGCTGGCCACGGGGCAACGGAGGGTGGGTTTCTGAAGGCATGCTGTTTGCTCAGGTCTCTCCCTTGCTCTTAACATTTGAGTAGAATTTGCTACTCAAATTGCTAGTAGGGAGACAGCATCTCAGTTCCCACCGCAAGGTAGCCTGGGTGATCGGCCTTTCCAGATTTGTAAACACGAGCCACACTCGCCACCCATTCTCAGGCTTGCCCGGCCGCCTGGTCCGGGCACCCCTCCCTGTGCTGCCAGGCCCAGCCCCTCTCTCTAGAGGGACTCTGCCTCCTCTCAGGGACCTGCCGAGGTTTCCCCAGAAGATGAGCTCCCCCCATTCTGTACTTCCAGTATCTTGTGCAACCCCCGGGACCCCTTGGGCCATGGCCCTGTGTCGCTGCCAAAGCATGGCGCTGAATGATGTGCTCAGAGGGTGCTGTGCTGGGCTGAGAATCCTCCAGGGACAGCGGCATTCTGTGCACTCCGGGTGACCAGCCTTCCCGGGCAGGAAGGTTATCTCCAGTTTACAGGTGAGGGAACTGAGACTCAGAGGAAGACAAGGACTTGCCTGTAGCCATGTAGCTGTTGAGTGATGTGCTTGGCTCTGAAACCAGACCCGGGGGATCTCTCTCCGGGGACCCCTTCCCCCCAAGGCCCCAAACAGTCTCATCTGAAAAGCCTCCTCACAAAGCGCTTGCACGTACTACCTCGGGTTCACTAAAATGGCGAAATCCCTCCTGCCTAAACTTCTGTTTTCCGCCCCACTAGCAGCAGCAGCAGAAGCTTCAACTGTATAAAATTCATTGGGAGAAAAGCGTATGACAAAAAAGGTCTTATTCAAGACTTCTAATTATTTGCGTTAGTGACTAAAACTGTGAAGAGTGTGACTCTGCAGTGCAAAGTAGAAATATTAAAGCCGGAGATGAGAAAAACAACAGCAACTTCGAATGCAGGCCGCTTCTTGAGGTGGGGAAAAAATACACCAGCCTGGGTTCAGGTAAATCCACCTCCATTTCATGGGGTCATTGAGGTCCGGAGACGGTCATTAATTTAGCCGGGGGTCACCCAGCTCCAAGGTGCCCCTGCCGGGTCCCAGGGTAGAGGCAGGAGAATGAATAATCCCCAGAGGTTAAGGGGCGATGACTTGTTTTGTTGGCTGCAGCAAAACACGACTTGTTAATCTCATGTGTTATCTTTGAAATTCATGCAAATTTTGTATTATACTCTATAATATAACCATGTTATTTTTATATTAGAACAAATGTGTTAAATTATTTATCAACTGAATTATTTAACTTTTCTGAAATTGACACTTTGGGAAGAGGTGCTGTACTTCTCTGCTGTGGCTTCCTCAGGGCTCAGCACACAGCCTTGTGCCACTGGGAGAAAGCGACCCTGATTTCAGAAGCCAAGGGCTGTCTGACTGTGGGCGGGGAATCCTTTGTTTGTCTTTCAAGGACCTCGTTCACGTTACCTCAGAATGGATCTTCAGCCACAAGCATGAGATGGCTGTCAGACCCATAATGCTCACGAATTCAGGCAGCAAACAAGAACCACGAGGTGCCAGGCCCAGTACCAGCCGCTGGGCCAACAACCCCCATAGCGAAGATTCTCCCTGGAGCAGACTGGGCCCGCCATTCGCGGCTGGGCCCTGAGCCAGAGGAGGCTCCACTCACTGACCTTATGAAGGTACGGAAGCCTGTTGGCCCTAGCTTCATTGTGCCCTTGATCCCCAGGAACCGGATGAACAAGTTGGCCATCCTGTCCACCAGGCGCAGGTAGTTGAACTGCTTCGCGTACTTGGGGAACACCTGCTTGAGGCAGATGGAGGGCAGGTGGGCTTCTGGGTTGGTGCTGTCCTCCGAGGAGGCCTTGGTGGTCTCGCCGTGGGAAGGTTCATCCGTGGTGGCCAAGGGAAACTGCTTAGACCTGAAACACACAGGGATTGCAGGCAGAGTCGTCATGGGGTGGGCTTCGCAGCAGCCACGCACCCGCGCCCGCCCTCCTCTCCTGCCAGGCCCTGCGGAGGTGTGGAGGCTAATTTGGACCAGGAAACGGAGCTCAGAGAAGTGGCCTGCCTGAGCTCACTGGCTGAACCTGGAACCCCGAGGGGCTGGAAACACACGCCGCTTCCGCTCTAGCCTCCCCGCTTCCCGGCTTCCCGGTTTGCATGACTTCCCCTTACTGTACTCGCGAGCTGAGAGAGCACTCTGTTACGGAGCAGTCTGGATGGGATTTCGAACTCCTACTTATCGGTAGTAATTGAATAATTAAGAAATATAAAAATCTCTTGGAGGGCTGGCAAGAAGCTATCAGCACAGTTCAATGAACAATTTGCAAAGACACATTAGCTCCCCACTTCTAGGAATAGGCACGATTACGCTTCCTGGCTTGGAACATATACAAAGCAAATGATCATAGTGTTGTGATTTCTTCGTCTGGATATTTTATTCTGAAATTATCCTGATAGTCAAGAACATTAGCGGTTGAGCACTCTCAGATCTGTCTCTAGCTTGGAATGTTCTTCTCAAGTATAGCCCCACTCCAGCCACCACCTATTTACCTTTTGGGAAGCCCGCAGGCATCACGGATAGGAGTGACCATTCCCTCTCACCCCAAATCTGGCTTGGCTTTCCCTTTCCTTACATGTCACCACCATCTGTCAGTTACCCAGGCAGGAAACAGAATAAATGCGCCTCCTCCCAGCCTTCTGCCTCCACCACCCACCCTTCCTCCTTACTGTTCTCTCCAGCCAGCTCCTCTCCCTCCCCGCCCGGTGCTGTTAACTCCTGCCGGGACTGCAGCTCAGGCACCCTGCCTCTGGCCTTTGCAGCCAACTCACCCTACACACTGGCAGCAGTCACCCCCTTTAAAGCAAACCTGGTGGATTCCCCACCTGCGCCGAGTGACGCCCAGAGCCCAGCTAACTAAGCCCAGACTCCTCCTTCTGGCATGTTCTGATTTCTTGTCCACCTCCTCATTTCTGACCGCTGCCTGTGGCCCCCACCTCCTTCACGGCCTGGATCACCCCTGCGGCCGCCACGCCCCCTGCTCCCGGGACTCCGCTCCTCCGCACTCAGCCCCTGTCTGCTCCTCAGCTTAGCTTGCTTTCCTGGCTCCCGTGCTGGCCATGACTAAGCTGGGGCCAGTGGAGCCCTTTCCCACCTACTGCGTCCTTCTGAGACAACGCCCTGGTGGCACCAGCGTCAGTTAAGGCTGCACGATTGGCTACTTATCCAGGAAAACGAGAAGCAACTCTCATGGTGTTAAGCTCAGCTCCAGGCCGTGCCTACCCTTCTGTAGTGCCAGCCT